AGAAACAACAGAAGCAACAACGGCAGCAACGGCAGCACTAACACCACATACAAAAACAAGCAGCATTAACAGGAGCAATAACAGCAGTACTGTCAGTCAGCATCAGTATAAAGCAAGAGAAGCTTTACGGGCTCACCATAGCCCGTGCTACTTGGAACTTTGTTCCAGGTAGCGAATCTTTAACAACAAGAGCAGCTGTAACAGGAGCAGCTGTAACAGGAGCAGCTGCAACAGGAGCAGCAGCAACAGGAGCAGCTGCAACAGGAGCAGCTGCAACAGGAGCAGCTGCAACAGGAGCAGCAGCAACAGGAGCAGCTGCAACAGGAGCAGCAGCAACAGGAGCAGCTGCAACAGGAGCAGCAGCAACAGGAGCAGCTGCAACAGGAGCAGCTGCAACAGGAGCAGCAGCAACAGGAGCAGCTGCAACAGGAGCAGCCTTGCACAAGGTGTATGGGAAAGACACACATGTTCAAGCAGTAAAAGAAAACTTGGGACAATTATGCAAGTGAGGCTGAGCGTGTCCGGCATGGAGAAGTGTCCCAGACGGCACTCACACTCATATGCACACTGGAGTACACAAGCAAGACTATATATAGGAAGGAATATAGGAGCCTATATGCAAGAGGGCATTTGTAGCCTGGGAGGCCACGCTCTCTCTCTCTCTCTCTCTCTCTCTCTCTCTCTCTCTCTCTCTCTCTCTCTCTCTCTCTCTCTCTCTCTCTCTCTCTCTCTCTCACACACAGGGGTCTGGTAGCTGAGTGGACAGCGCGCAGGACTCGTAATTTTGTGGCACGGGTTCGATTCCCGGACCAGGCAGAAATAAATGGGCAAAGTTTCTTTCACCCTGAATGCCCCTGTTACCCAGCAGTAAATAGGTACCTGGGACAGCTGTTACGGAGCTGCTTCCTGAGGGGGGGGGGGGGGTTGGGAGGGTGTGTGTGTGTGGAAAAAAATAGTTTGTAGTTAGTAACAGTTAAGAGGCGGGCCGAAAGAGCAGAGCTCAACTCCGGCAAGCACAACTAGGTGAATACACACACAAACTGGGGCCTCGCGGCTGAGTGGACAGCGCTTGGGGGTCGTAGTCCTAATATCCCAGGTTCTATTCCCCGCGGAGGCGGAAACAAATGGGCAGAGTTTCTTTCACCCTGATGCGCCTGCTCACCTAGCAATAAATAGGTACCTGGAAGTTACGAGCAGCTGCTTCCTGGGAAGCCGGGAATGAGTGTGTGTGTGTGTGTGTGTGCATGTGTAAGAGAAATATATGTAGTAGGCATAAGAGAGAAAAATAGAGTGTTGAGGAAGGCGGGGTCCAAGAGCTTGATTCTGCAGGCAAAAATAGTAAACACACATACACGAGGAGACTGGTAACATAGGTGACTCAGGTGTGTTTCCCACGACAAATTTAATCACATTAAAATACTACTTTTTTTTAAGTGAACATCACTCTTACTTTTCCTTATCTATCTATCTTTATATATATATATATATATATATATATATATATATATATATATATATATATATATATATATATATATATATATATATATATATATATATATATATGACAGTGTCAGACCCCAAGATTGAATGGTCCCCAAGTCAATATGCAACTGAAAATATAGCCTCGATGGGTTAATATAGCCGTTGGGGATATAGCCTCGGCTACCAATGACTTTTGTACAGTCAAGGTGGTTGAGTGGTTAAAGTACGAGGTACGTCAAGGTGCATAGTGCTCCTGGCTGTCTGGGTTCAAATCCTTCTAGGGTGTGGAGTTTTCAATTGCATATTGACTAGGGGACCATTCAAGCTAGGGACCAAGAGCTGAAGTATACGCCACCCTGAAAGCCCAAATAGGTGAGTTCACACACACACACACACACACACACACACACACACACACACACACACACACACACACACACACACAAGATGATGTCTGCCGACGACAATTCCTTCAAGAAGTTTGCAAGTTACCGACAAGTTAGGGTTGTTTCCTCCCCCTCTTCACTCTCAAGAAACCTCTCTCACCAATTCTATGTTTGCATTTTAATCAGATTAAAAAGAGTGTCCTACCGTCTCTTTCCCCCAGGTGTCGCAGCCACGAACCGACCACCTGGTTCATATTTGCCTTGTGGCACTGGGTTCCCCTTTTTGGTTTTGTTTTGAAGGTAGGAAAATGAAAAATGAATTGCGCTTGATGAACGGCTCGTCCGCATTGATACACGCCCCGACCAGACACCTGGCTACAATCAATCATGGTCGACTGCCCCGACCAAACACCTGGCTACAATCAATCATGGTCGACTGCCACAACGACAACAACAACAACAACACAGTAACTGGCATGTGGTTCACATTCTGACAGAAGCTCTCCCAGTCACAGCGTGGTCAACACACCTTCTGCGGTCATAAACTCCATGACAGATGCCTTCAAATTCCTTATTATAAAAGGCTCATCAGATGATGGAAAATATGATGTAAATTTAACTACTGCGTCTAGGAGTCATTGTCGCTGTAGTCCAGGTCGTTGTAGTTGAGATTGTCGCAGTCCAGGGGGCCAGATTCACGAAAGTACTTACGCAAGTACTTGCGAACGTGTACATCTTTCTTCAATCTTTGACGGCTTGGGTTACATTTATTAAACAGTTTACAAGCAAGAAAATTTCCCATTCAATTGTTGTTATTGTTATAAACAGCCTCCTGGTGCTTCGGAGCTCATTAACTGTTTAATAATTGTAAACAAAGCCGCCAAAGATTGAGAAAAGATGTACAGGGTCGTAAGTGTTTGCGTAAGTGCTTTCGTGAATCTGGCCCCTGGTCGCTTGTAGTCTGTCGTTGTACAAGGCTGTAACGCGTGTAGATCGTGAAGTCCAAATACAGAAGTATACAGCAACACATAGAAGCCTCCTATTGATTTAGGGGCGACAGGTTAGGCGCCCACCTGCTCATGCTGGGGCGACAGGTTAGGCGCCCACCTGCTCATGCTGGGGCGACAGGTTAGGCGCCCACCTGCTCATGCTGGGGCGACAGGGTAGGCGCCCACCTGCTCATGCTGGGGCGACAGGTTAGGCGCCCACCTGCTCATGCTGGGGCGACAGGTTAGGCGCCCACCTGCTCATGCTGGGGCGACAGGTTAGGCGCCCACCTGCTCATGCTGGGGCGACAGGTTAGGCGCCCACCTGCTCATGCTGGGGCGACAGGTTAGGCGCCCACCTGCTCATGCTGGGGCGACAGACACCATCATGCCGTACTAGGCAGGACAACACCAGTCGTGATTAGATTCATGTCTCGTACACAAAGTATTTCATCCTTGGGTAGAACAAAAAAAGACATCATTGAAGTATACGTAGATCATATCATACACCAAGAAAGGAGTGAAACTGTAAACGAATGTTTTGAGCAGCTAGAAAATGGGTGAAAGTGTGTGTGGACTCACCTATTAGTGTGTGTGTGGGGAGGGGGGGGGGAAGGGGGGGTCTCACACAGGCTGTCTTCATAAACATTAGACAAATGCACGTTAGTCCAACCTCCACCCTACTCCTTCCTGTTTATCAATAACAAAATACTACACATCTCTCATAACTTTTCTCAAACATTGCTTCGAACACTTCCTGTGTTCGAATCCTAAATGCCTCATCCACGTACTGCAAAAACAAACAAAACTGTAATTGCCTTTGGAGCTAAGCACATAACCTAACCTATCTTATAGACTATAGACGTAAATTAATAGTGTTATATTTATAATTATTTTGAAAAATACGGCTTTTTGTTAAAGTGTGCGTTGAATTGACGAGTGAACGGAATGACGAATACGTCTTTAGAGGTCGGCCGCAACCTGGCCGAGCATAGGCTTCGGCAGACATCACGCTACGTGAGGACTACGTGAGGACGAGTTGTATAGCCACACAATTCTTCATGGAGGGATTAGAACTCTTTCTATGGACGCGTTTAATAATGCCGTTTTTTTTTTTTAAAGAGAGAAAACCCTACACCGCCCTCAGTAAAAAAAAAAAAACACGTTCCAAACGCTTGTGAAACATGTTTCAAGAACAAGGGATTGCCAAACGCGACCGTCCCGTGACGCATTGTCTCGTCTGTGTTGAATTCCTCTCGTATACCCCCGCTCAAATTACATTCCGCAAGTCTACAGACATTCCCGTTAAGAATTACGAAGACAATGCTTTGTTGGGAGCAAAACCAATACAAAACTGTTCGTTTTGTAATGCGGTCTCCCACCCTATATGTCTCCACAGTCCCCCATCCTGAACCCTGCATTGCCAGTGGCGGGAGACTTACAGCGATAGGGTATTATACCTTCCATAGCAGTTGGATTGTTCAGCACTGTAATTATAGCAAGTAACTTACCACTCAAGTGTTCAGCAAACATTTTGAAATATTTGATGATTTTTTTGCCACATAACATTGGCTGCAGTTGTGTGCACTTCAATCTGGGCCCCCCTGTTTCTGTTGGGGTTGTGTGTGTGTTCTTCAACCTGGTCCCTCTCCCTGCTGTGGCTGTGTGCTTCAACCTGGTCACTCTGCCTGCTGTGGCTGTGTGCTTCAACCTGGTCCCTCTCCCTGCTGTGGCTGTGTGCTTCAACCTGGTCACTCTCCCTGCTGTGGCTGTGTGCTTCAACCTGGTCACTCTCCCTGCAGTGGCTGTGTTCTTCAACCTGGTCCCTCTCCCTGCAGTGGCTGTGTTCTTCAACCTGGTCCCTCTCCCTGCAGTGGCTGTGTTCTTCAACCTGGTCCCTCTCCCTGCAGTGGCTGTGTTCTTCAACCTGGTCCCTCTCCCTGCAGTGGCTGTGTTCTTCAACCTGGTCCCTCTCCCTGCTGTGGCTGTGTGCTTCAACCAGGTCACTCTCCCTGCAGTGGCTGTGTTCTTCAACCTGGTCCCTCTCCCTGCTGTGGCTGTGTGCTTCAACCTGGTCACTCTCCCTGCTGTGGCTGTGTTCTTCAACCTGGTCCCTCTCCCTGCAGTGGCTGTGTTCTTCAACCTGTCCCTCTCCCTGCAGTGGCTGTGTTCTTCAACCTGGTCCCTCTCCCTGCAGTGGCTGTGTTCTTCAACCTGGTCCCTCTCCCTGCTGTGGCTGTGTGCTTCAACCAGGTCACTCTCCCTGCAGTGGCTGTGTTCTTCAACCTGGTCCCTCTCCCTGCTGTGGCTGTGTGCTTCAACCAGGTCCCTCTCCCTGCAGTGGCTGTGTTCTTCAACCTGGTCCCTCTCCCTGCAGTGGCTGTGTTCTTCAACCTGGTCCCTCTCCCTGCTGTGGCTGTGTTCTTCAACCTGGTCCCTCTCCCTGCAGTGGCTGTGTTCTTCAACCTGGTCCCTCTCCCTGCTGTGGCTGTGTGCTTCAACCTGGTCCCTCTCCCTGCTGTGGCTGTGTGCTTCAACCAGGTCACTCTCCCTGCTGTGGCTGTGTGCTTCAACCAGGTCACTCTCCCTGCAGTGGCTGTGTTCTTCAACCTGGTCCCTCTCCCTGCTGTGGCTGTGTGCTTCAACCTGGTCCCTCTCCCTGCAGTGGCTGTGTTCTTCAACCTGGTCCCTCTCCCTGCTGTGGCTGTGTGCTTCAACCTGGTCCCTCTCCCTGCTGTGGCTGTGTGCTTCAACCTGGTCCCTCTCCCTGCTGTGGCTGTGTGCTTCAACCTGGTCCCTCTCCCTGCTGTGGCTGTGTGCTTCAACCTGGTCACTCTCCCTGCTGTGGCTGTGCACTTCCCCTCCGTCAAAACCGCTTCCAAACTCCAGACCATTCAACACTAACCAGCAATAACAGTTTCCCCTCAAATAAACCTGCTCAGTCATTCCCCCTTACTGCTGCCTGCTGAGTGCGAGCGTATCGGGTCCTCGCTCTTGTCTAACGAGAAAAACTAGAGCAAGAGATTATTAAGAAGCTTAAAACAAGTAGGTCTGAAGGAAAGATTTATGATAGCAGAAGAGAAATATGGAAGCACGAGTTAAGTTTCACATGGCTATACGCTGCTGATTCTATGCAGAAAAAAACAAGTTTTTTTTTTTAATTTGTGAGCGAGAGAGGTAGCAAGTTATTATATAATAAAAGTCGCGGTAAACCCTGGTAAACTATGCCGTGAGCCCCCCAAGCAGGTGGGGTAATCAGGATGAGGTTTACTACATATTAAGACCTGCCTACCAAAGGCTTAACCCAGAGTTTTTTTTTTATTTTTGCATTAAATATTACTGTAAAATTTCGTAAAAAAAATATATATGTATATATTATACATACACGAGCTGTGCTTTAATAACGTTTAGTGTTTTGGCAAAGCGTAAGTAAATGTGAAAACCTTTGGGAGAGCAGATGAAGCTGACTATATAACACAACAAGGAGGCACTGCAATATGGAGGGTTTGTGGTTTGAGACACGTGCCTATTGCTAACTCAGCGGTCGCTAATAGAAACTCCCGTACATGAGGAGCCACGAGAGCTGTGCTGTGTTGGTGCTGCCAACACAGCAGCAGGAGACGGTCAGCAGAGTCACCTAGGAATGGGATGTGGAACTAAATACGCCCCCAAAGCTTGTAATCAACTCAGGTTTCGCCACAATCGTTTCTGGTAATCCTCTCAAGTGATGCGAGAAGACTTGAATGGTTCAAAGATTAATCACTGTTAAATTACTATTTAGCGATTCATCACTAAACAATAATATTAATTAAAATTCACATTTTCATTATATCGACATTTTGGAATGCTGAACACTCTTAAACAAATTGTCCGGCATTTAGGATCATTTATGAAATTCAAGGAAATTAAGAACCCCTTCCAAAAATTCCTTAGAGTATTTATAGACTCACTAAATACGATTCATGTAGTACCTAACATGATTCTGTAATTTTGCATTAAATTTTTTTTATTCCCATTGGATAAATGGGAATAAAAATTATTTTTTTTAAATCCCATTGGATTCCCATTGCTGCCTCCGAGACACAATGTAGCTGCTCTCTCTACCAGAGGGCTTACCCAGGTTCGATGAGGTTCTGACGATGAGGTTCTGACGATGAGATTCCCTCATCCCAGACGATGAGGTTCTGTGGAGTACCGCGGCTGGGAAAGAAGCCTACTTAGTGGTGCAGTTTATGAAACTGGGGTCGAATACCCCTATGAATTTATTTACCCAATTGTTAAGATTTCCTTCACACGTTGTCATATGATGAGGAAGGGAAGGGAATTATCAGGGGGGAAAAGCACCAAAGTTATTTACGACTATATAGCACTGGCAAGGGATCAGGATAAAGATTTGGGATAGACGGAAGGGGGGGGGGGGGGGAGGAATAGTGCCCAACCACATGGACAGTTGGCTATGTCTGCACCAAGGGCTGCCAAGTTTGGCGTGAAAAGTGGCTTGTTTGCAATGTGGTATATTGAGCAAAAGGTTAAGGTCTTTTTCTAGTACAGATTTCAACAGATTGTCATATTCACCTGGTTTGTAGTTATTGTGTGTCGTCGAACACCTCAGAAAGTAAGTTAATTTGGAGACAGACAAGCATGTGTTAAAAAGGAAAAGTGCATCGATACCTTCAGTCCTCTCATCCAGCCTCATCAGGGTCAGTGATATTTTTAAATTTAGAAGTGCGGCAATGGGCAGGCGCGTGCGCGCTCTTTCTCTCTCTCTCTCCTCTCTCTTACTCCAGTGAGAGAGAGAGAGAAGGCGGAGGGAAAGAACGGCAGATATAGATGGCAGTGTAAGCTGGCTGTGGAAGTTTTAGTCTCCCCTTGAAATTGCATTTATGTTTTTACGTCATATTTTTGTGTTTCATTAATGCCAAATAAAATATTAGAAAACAGAAGGAAAGAAGAGGAAATGTGGCATTAGTTATGATAAACATTTAGTTTGGGCACAAAGCCTACCAACTGACCAGCCAACAAGTCCTACACACAGTCCAGGACTAAAGTAAACTCGAAGTAGCAGATCAGTTGTTTATCACAATGAGATGTGTCAAACAAAACATATGTATGGGACAAATAACAAATATTTGGCTCTCGTGGCTCCTCATGTAGGGGACTTTCTATTAGCGACCGCTGAGTTAGCAATAGGCACGTGTCTCAAACCGCAAACCCTCCATATTACAGCAGCCTAACAGACGTTGTCACAGCTCGAATAGGACTTGGCTACAAGTATCTCTGGCAGTTCGGCTTGTATAGGGATCTAGATGAAGTAAAGTGTAGTGTGTAGACAAAGACACGCAGAGCATTATATCGTAGACTGAACAAAATTGACCCATTTAGAGATAAATCTAAACTCAGGCTGCATGAAACAGCAAATCATCTTACAAGAAACGATAACATGTCTAATATCCTTGCATTGTATCCATGTTTTGCTTCCTAGTACATACGAGACTAATCAATAAACTTTGAAGTCTGAAAAGTAATACTAATAATAAGCATCAGCCTTTATATGATCTTTTAATATCCCCAAATCTAAATATGTTATGTATTAGCCAAAGACCTACCATCAATGTATAATAATATACATAAATACATAGATATTGTAATAACAAAATATTTGATTAATTAGCTGACAATATGTTTATAATGTATTTCAGGATAAATTAAATTCTTAATCAGATCTCAGCGGAGATTTTTGCATTGTGCCCTCTGTAATCTTATTGCGCTACCGCTCACAGGATGAGTATGGGGTGCATAACAAACTACCGCTAACTGGAATAGGATGCATATTAAATTTGCCGCCTCTGGAGGAAAACAATCTATCATACAAAAAGTTTAACTACAAATATATATCTAAGTAAATCTACCCACTGTTAATATATTAAGAAACGGAATAAGGAATTCTATTTTACTGGTGATTTTAAGTTAGGTTTAGTACCGTGCAATAAGGGCAAAAGGGAAAAGCTAACACATTGAAATTTATATATATATATATATATATATAGAATGAATTCCAAAGAATATGATACACATTCACAATGTGTTGATTGTCAAGATTCTTGTATACAAAAGAATGTAAGTGACAAGCACAGGGGTGAATTATCCTCAACCTGTCTTCAAGGTGATTGTCCAATCCCATGTCCTAAAATCAATTCCTTAAGTCGTTTCCCAAGCGGCCTCCCACCTCACTCCGTGTCCCAAGCAGTGTCCCACCCCACTCCGTGTCCCAAGCAGTGTCCCACCCCACTCCGTGTCCCAAGCAGTGTCCCACCTCACTCCGTGTCCCAAGCGGTGATCCGAGCCTTGTCCCGGATACAGACACCCGAGGCTCATCAGTGCGCGATCACCCACTCGCCCGAAGAACATCGCCTACTTCAAAGAAATGATTTAATTGCGAAAATGAAATGACGAGGAATAGAAGATCAAGGACGTGGAAATTGGAGATGAGAGGAGATGGATAGTGGAGATGGCTGAATTTACACGATACTGAAAGTGGGAAGATTGATAGATGAAAAGATGGATTTGCATAAAGGGAGGCGGGGTAGGAATATAAAAGGATGGGTGATGAAGACCATATAGATAAGAGAGGGATATATATATATAGTAGAGGGTGAGAGGAGATAGAGCCGGAAATCCAGCTCTATCTCTCTAATTTTGTATGCCGTGGCAAAACCATGAGAACGCCCTGGATGGGTCAGTGTTTCTTCACTAAAAGTAGTGACCAAGCCCTGGAGTCGAACCGGCAAACAATTCACACGCTTGTAAACTGTTCCGGTGTTCACGACGCTCCCTTTGTGTGTTGAGGGTAAACTCGGAGGACTAGGCTGCTCTGTGACTGAAGGGGAAGTAGTGGCACTCGCGGGGAAGGAGCGCCTATGGTTCAGAAGTTATGAAAAGTTCATCAAATGCAATAATTAAATTCCGGACGACGTTCCGCCCATGATTTTATTGTATCTCGCACACAGATATTTTCTCAATAACGTCGACCCGTTTGTGCAAGGGGGGGAATGCTGGCAACGGTTATGGCAACCCGTTGTGAGAGGGTAATGCTGGCAACGGTATTGATAATGTAGCCTAAACATTATGGCTGTACAAACTCGCTCGGTAAAAACTATAAAGGACATAATATCACGCTGGATACGAACCAAACATCGCCCAAGACACGAACCAAACATCGCCCAAGATACGAACCAAACATCGCCCAAGACACGAACCAAACATCGCCCAAGACACGAACCAAACATCGCCCAAGACACGAACCAAACATCGCCAAGACACGAACCAAACATCGCCCAAGACACGAACCAAACATCGCCCAAGACACGAACCAAACATCGCCCAAGACACGAACCAAACATCGCCCAAGACACGAACCAAACATCGCCCAAGACACGAACCAAACATCGCCCAAGACACGAACCAAACATCGCCCAAGACACGAACCAAACATCGCCCAAGACACGAACCAAACATCGCCCAAGACACGAACCAAACATCGCCCAAGACACGAACCAAACATCGCCCAAGACACGAACCAAACATCGCCCAAGACACGAACCAAACATCGCCCAAGACACGAACCAAACATCGCGCTGGACAACAAGGTTATACGCATTTTCAAAAAAATACTAAACAATTCCATTCAATAAAACCTGGTAGCGAGAATTAAGTATGGTCGGCGCCTGCAATATAGGATTCAATATCGCGAATGACACCTTTTTGAAGATTAATTTTCAATTTATTATGCACAATATAAAAAATATTGATGTTAATCACCAGTGAATAATGTTTATGACTGAAACATCCCACTTAGAGTGTAAATTTTATCTGGTTGACGGAACTTCGAGGGTAATTAAGGGCTCCAAACCTTTCCTTTTTATATTATCTACATAACTTATCTCTAC